GCAGACTACTTTAGGCCCGGAAGTAGGATTCGTCACGTCATCACTTAACGATCACACACCCGGCAACGTGTGTGACAAAAGCTTGTCCAGAATAACATCCTCATTTGTGCAAGTATGTGGATTCTTTGTCTCTGACACAGAGAAGAAAACTCTTGGCTTCAATCAGATTAAAATGTCCATCAGATGCATTTCTTTAGGCGCATTTCTTAACCGGGTGTTTAATAGAGTATTGTGAAAAGTGTGCAGAACTAATCTACTAGATTATGTTGTTGTAGAAACACCCTTCTTCAATTCACACCCATTCGTTTTTTCCATGATAATCTGCAGATTCCACTCTGCAACCAGCAGACCACTTCCCCTGAAGAAATACTCTAATTTCTTCAGGGGAAATTAGAGTGTTCACTAGAGCCTGCTCCAGTGAACTTGGTCTGACCCTAGAGATTGGGTAGCAGACATATGCATTCTCCTGCGCTCTCCTTTAGCCTCATCTGTCAGGTGCTGGGAAGATGTCCATCTTTGAGGCTATTACGGGAGCAGCAGAGGAGGGCAAATGGCAGATAGCTGGTGCTGCTCTCCCTACTTTCTGTTCTTGTGTATGAAGAATTTGACAGAAACAAGGCAGAGGTTAACAAACCAAGACTGGGGCAGTCTAGGCCCTGCGGGACCTTGTCACAGTCTCTGACCCCTCAAGGTCTTTACAGCAGGGCTTAGACAGAACAGAAGCCTGACAAAATGTTTCACCTGTGAGAGCAGCTTGCAGCTTTACTCAGGCTGAAATGATGTGTCTCTTGAGCAATGACACTTAGAGGGAAGTGAAACTTTTACAAAAAGGATAAAAGTGTAGCTAAAAAGCATGCACTGTGTAACCACTTGTCATGCCATTGACTGAGGAAACAGCTTTGGAATATTTAAACAGCAACAAGTTCTTTGGATATGTGGCAAACATTTTGCATCCAAGTATTTTTTGTTCCAAAAAAGCCACCAAAGGGTTTTTGAAGAGCCCTTTAATGCATTTCATTCACATTATAAAGAGCTGACCATACATCATGAATATGTACTTTGGGTATCGGATTCTTGCTAAGTGCTACCTATACTGTCTTACATGTTTTTGGATTAAAATTCGACCAGCATGCAGCTCATGATACCTGATGCCACTTGAAGCAGTAGAGCTTCAACAACAGTAAAATCATAAACTGTTCTTATGAATAAAGTGATTTTTTGTTGTTGTTCAGGGTCGTTGTAGTCTTTAGATGTTAGATATTTTGCAGCTGCTCATCAGATCTTTTTCTGCCTTTACATCAACCCGAAAACTTCAAGGCACAAACATGTGAAGGTGCCGAAAGTGTTTCACAGCTTCACTTGATGCTATCACATTAGCTGCAGAAAACACTAATAATATCTGAGCCGTTGCAACAGGACAGCATGAGGCTACCAGTGCACTGTGTGTGCATTTACACTGCAATTGTCCACGTTAATATATGTCCAAAATTTGTGTTCTTTAGCAGATATATAAATATAGAAAAAAGTACACCATACTTCTAGTAACTCATTTTGCTAACTGAATGCACATACAATATATGTTCATCTGTGGTGTTTTAGCGTTTTATCTGGCATATATAGTTTATTTTTGACTTATTAAAGATTATGCTATTATACTTTTGACTATTGTGACCATTTTCTGAACATAAGTAGCCTGATTATATGCTATTTTACTTGTGCTGAATTGCGTTTTGTAAATATTTCTGTGCAGAGACTGTCTGAATAGATGGGTTTTAAGCTATTTTTTAAGGATGCCACAGAGTCAAGGGCACAAAGAGAGAGCGGTAAATTGTTCCAAAGTTTTGGTGCCAAGGTTTGAAAAACACAATCCCCCCATAGTGTTCAGAGGGATGCATTAGATCGCAAGAAGATTTTTATCTGTGGACCTAAGGTTTCAGCTTGGAGAATAGGGGTGGAGTAGTTTGTGACAGATGCTGCAGGTTTAGTTAAATGACTGCCCTTAATTCAATATTTAATGTTTAATGTTCCTAAAACTGAATCCTTCATTACCCTCCTTTATTTACTGTTAAAGTAGAAGGTGGTATAAAGCAGTGTTTACGGCCTGCATTAAAAACAGGCTCTGGAACCCGAAACCAGCCACTGACCTTGAATTGATACGACCGCCTTCGTCATGTTGTATTAGAAATTGTGATTCACCTCATAAGGAGGCTCGTGTTTACCCCTCTGCCTTTCAGGTTCAGTGATCACTGCTGGAGATCAAGCTACTGTGGAGAAACTACTTCAAAGTTTGAGGAGATGTACTTTTTCTACACATCAGTGATGCTGAGCTGATGGCTGTGTACCGGTGCGTGTCTACTTATATAAAAGTGAATTGCACAAATCACATATGTTAATCATATTTATATCTAGAAGACTCCAGCTGTGATTCTTTATATTATTGTAGAAAAAGGTTTGTCCAGCTGCCCATAAGTTTGGCAGCTAATGGTCTCAGAAATTTCAAAAACTGCTTGGACTCCTGCCTTCTAGCATTTGGTCAAATAGTAACTAAACCACTGAACCCTGACTGACTGCTTGAAGTCAAAGTCACACAGCTACCTCTGGCAGTGAGCATACCTCAAAAGTATGTAGAGCATGGTTTGAAATTCCTTTGAAAAAATTGCAGACCCCCCACAAAATAAAATTAAATGGACAGGATTAGCTGTGCTC